GACATCTAGAAGTTAGAAAATTGAGAAATTCAAAAATTCACAAATTCTGAATTTCGGAAGTGAGAAAATTCGGAATTTCTCAAAATCTCCAATTCTCAAATGGAAAATTCAAACATTCGAAATTTCGAGAATTACCACATTCTGAAATTCGAAAACTTAAAAATCCTTAAGTTGGGAAAATTGAAATTTAGAAATTTTTTAAAAATCGACAATTCAGAACTTCGGGAATTCAAAAGTCCAAAAAAAAATCAGAAATTCAAAAACCTAGTAAATAAGCCCGAATCTCAAAATTGAGATACTCAGAAATTTGAAAGTTATCAAGTTGGACCGATCCGGACATTGGAAAATTTTTTTGCGCACGAGAGGACCCGGAACAGGACCACGTTTTATTGAATAGACAATAGTTTGGCAGAAAAAACGGAAAACGTGGAAAAAAACCGGATCCACTCGTACGTTTTTAATCATAACTTGGTTCAGCCGGTCCAACTTTTGACGATTTTTGGTAACCGGATAGCCATAGAGATTTTCTATCGATCAAAAAAAGAATCGTTCAAAACGAACCGGAGTTTACCTAGTTAGGATTATTTTGAGAAAAGTTTTAAAAAATGTCGAAAATGGGGGTACGTGATACCTACTCGATTTAAAGGAAGAAGGTGGCGGAATTGATTTCCAAAATAATATAGAGTAAAAACTTTAAAAGAGCCCCCCTCTCCAGACTGTCAACTTTGAATCCAATAATCCCGATTTCTGTAAAAGGTATCAAAAATTCGTTAACTGATAAAATATTGGTTACATTGCGATAAAAAATTTATCAGTTGACAACTTTTTAATATCTTTCACAGGAATCTAGATAAATTGGCTCAAAGTTGACTGTAAAGAACGCCAGTGGCGGTGTTACGCCACCCAAACCGTCCACTTTGAGCCTATATATCTATTTTCCTGTAAAAGATACAAAAAAGTGGTCAACTGACAAAATGTTGATTATAATATCAATAAAATTTTGTTACTTGATTACTTTTTGATATCTTCTACAGGAACCGAGATAAATTCAAAGTTAAAAGTTACGGGTGGCTTTCTTTTTTACGGTTCTGATTTCCTGGTTTCCTAAGTTCCTTTCTCTGAAAATCTTACTCTTCTCATTTCTCAATTTTTCCTACACTGATGTTTTTGTTTTGAACAACATTCCCTCTCTTTCTTTTTTTGCTTGTCCAGCAGCTCCTTGACCACCACCTGCTTCTCCTTCTCCATATAAGCACATTCAGCACCTATATTATTAACCTTCCGCGTCCTTATTTCTCCCCCTTTCCATTGCTTATATTCTCCTAATCACGTATGTAAAAGTGTATCAATAGACCACCACCTTCCTCTTTTCCCATGAAGTAGACAGGTGTTCGAGCTTCTATTTTTCCTTCTTCCACTTCAACATTTTTCGATTATCTCTGCGTTTCCATGCTTTTCCTTTCTCTTCTCTGCGTCTCTCTTTTCTTATCACACTGATAACCTTCTCTCTCATCAATCTCCCACTCATTTCTGACCACTCGAAATTCCGTGCCATTCTGCTGCTCGCCTTGGAGCCAGGGCCGACACTGGCAGGATTTTTGATAAGTTGGGAGAAGAAAACAAGTTTTTTTTCTTTCTATTTCTTTCTTCCTGACATTTTTTCTCCGTCAGAAACTTTTTTGAAGATCCACTTATCCATTAGAAATTCATAAGAAAAGCACTAGAAGATGTCCTTTTTTTCTCCCTTCAATTTGTCATCTTTTCTTCTTCCCATCACTCATTTTTCGGCTCTTTTTCCTTTTTTTTTCCTGCTCCAGAAACTTTGTTTTTCGAAGGTCCCATCTTTAGTCTAGATGAAATAAATTCAGGCCACGCCCCTTCCTTTTCCGGTTAATCCTTAATCCGTCTAATTCTCTCCATCTCTTGGTTTTATGCAGCTTCGAATAGGAATCGGATTAAAACCGAATTTGCCTATCTGACATAGCTACCTCAGTATATATGAATGCTATTCTGATTGATTGTATAGAAGTTTCCAATGTGTAAGAAATTTGAGACTATTGACTGAAAATTGGCTTTCGAAAAATCTTGTTTTCTGATGAATCAAAAACCTAAAATAGAAGGGTCCCTGGCTTTGAGCCAATTTTTCTCGGTTTCTGTCAAAGATGTAAAAAAAGCTGTACTAATAAAATGTTTATTATAATATCAAAAATATTTTGCCAGTTTACCACTTTTTGATATCTTTCATAGGAGTCGAGATAAATTGGCTTAAAGTTGAAAGTTAAGGGGTCATCGTATTAAAGAAATAACCAAACCCAAGCTTTTATATTCACCACATATTTAGTTTCCCCTGTCTTCTCCCACTCTCTCCATAATCACTTCTCTTCTTCTTCTTACACATTTTTTTCCCACACTGTACATCTTCTTCTCTCATTTCGGTCTCTTTCTTCTTCTCTTTACCTATCACCCAGATGTCAACCTTTCTTTCCTTTTTGACATCTCTGCGTCTCCTCATCTTCAACACTCTCTCCTCTCATCTCCTTATCAGTCAACCCAAACAATGTGCACGTTACGGGTGGCAATTAGTCATGCGAACACATCTCCCCCTTCTCCCTTTCAACTCTATAAACACTCGTCTTTTTGTACCCAAAATTTTTTTTGTTGAATTGTACAGAAGCTTCTAGGGTTAGAATTTCCAAACCAGTTGCCAGAGCTTAGTACATCGCGTTATTCAAATTGTATGATATTACAAACTTTAGCCTGGGTAGTAGCCTTCAACTGAAAAGTTCCCACGAGTTTCGAATCCCATTTGTAACATACGGGATAATTAAATTTCGATGGTCATCACCAAACTCATTACAGTCTCCCATAACCTTCTCCTCCAGTCTCATAGTAATAATAAACCAATAACAATGAAATACGGGCGGTCCTAATTGGGTTAGTTTGGGTAGAAGCAACAGGCCTCCGCCTTCGTGTCTCATTTCGAAATTGAGCATTTTGTCCCGAATATTTGTTTCGTTTCTCTACCTTCATGAAGGATAAATATCAATTTTCTTTTGAAATCTCTTGTCGTGTTTATTCAATTTCATTTACATTCGACACCCGAGAGTTGGGCGGAAACAAAAATAAATAAAGAGAGGAAGTGCAAAGAAAAAAGAAGAGCTTCCGGAAAATTTCGGAGGTAATTGAGAAATTAGGATTTATGTAGGAAATCCTTTTATTTTCAAAATTTCGAACAAAAAATCAGAAATTCAGGATAAAGAATCTCTGAACTCCGAATTATCGAACTTCATTTCTTGATCTCCGAATTTTTAAAATTTTCAAAGATTTTCGATTTTTCGGATTCAGAAATTCAGAATTTGAAAGTTCGGAAAACAGAAGTTCAGAATGTAAAAATTCGGAATTTCAGAATTTCCGAACTTCCGAATTCCCGAATTTCTCAATTTCTGCATTCTTGAACTTCGGAATTTCTGCATCTCTAAATTTTAAAATTTTGATTATTTTTTGGAGACCAAAAAATAATTGAATTTTTTTGATTTGCAAAATTATTGTTGATTTGTTTTCTTGCGAAATGTGGTATATGTATGGTCCCAAATAAACGATTGACCGAAATTTCCAGTCGGAAAATGACGATATTCTTGTTTTCATAAAATATTTTCGATTCGATCCAATCTTTTTTTTTTGGGATAAATTGACCGACCAAATTGAGCATTGACATTTTTCATTAGCCCAAAAAATCCAGAAGAAGCCAACTTTGAGGTCATGTATCTCATTCCATGTGAAAGATACCAAAAAGTGGTGAACCATAAAAATGCTTTCAATATTATAATAAACACTTTGTCAGTTGACAAAATTTCAATATATATATGGGATGAACGCTCAAAGTGCAAGTATTGGGTGGCCTTATATTAGAGGGCTGCACCTAAATTTCTCAAAAAGTTTCCATGAACTTCTCACCTCTCCTCGTTTCTCTGCCATTAATTAAATCCCTTCTCTCTTCATTCCCAGATTATTATTATCCTTCCTTTTGTTCCTCACCCTGCAGTCCTCATCTTCGTCCCTCCCTATATAAACCATGTCATTTTCCGTATTTCATTCTCATCATGTCACTTCTTCTTCTTCTTCTCGAATCCCGATAATTCTTCTCTCTGATTCTTTTTGTTCCTGCGATCCCGTCCCACTTTTTATTCGAGAACATACGAAAACTGGTAATTTTAATGTGTTTCTTTCACACAGGGAGACACTTTTCAACCCATTCGGATAATTGTTAGGTTTAGAAACCAGGACAAGTTTCACATTATTTTTCATCCAAAGTGAGAGAGAAAGAGTCAACATTGTTATACGGTTGACCAAGTACAAACCCCCACATAATTTTATTGACACCCCTTGCGTTTGCTCCAAAAGTGACAATCAAGGAGTGCGAAAATACATAATTGTGTTCCGACTTCTTCCTTCCATATGTCGCTATGAAATATTACTCCAAGTAGTTACTAAGATTATCAAGATCGAGGTCTTGGTTTACCAATTTTTGATATTTATAGAAACAAATCTTTAAAATATTTTTTAATACCGAATTTTCGAATTTCTCAGGAATTTTGTTATGTAGTGTTCTACCAAAATTAGTCGCATTATTTTGGTATTTTCCCATAAAACATATAAACTTCTAAAACCGTAAAACCTGCACTAGAAGCCCACCTGAACTGTTATCTTTGAGCTCCATTATCTCGATTCCTGTGAAAGATATCAAAATTTTGTCAACTGATAAAATATGTCTAATATTGTGATAAACATTTTGTCAGTTAATAACTTTTTGAAATCTTTCACAGAAATCGAGATAATTTAGATCCAACATCTGGAAGGACCTCTATGATTTAAAAGGTCCTTCCAGGTTTTACGGTACTTTTGGTATTCATTTCGTTTTAAAACATATAAACTTCAGATGTTTGAAAAAGTGCTGATAACTTATCTAAATGGTAAATATTTTTCTTCAATAGGAGATGGTACATTTTGATAACTTTTTAAGAATAAGACAAGTTTTTCCATAAAGAAAGCTTCGTTTTGTTTCTCACCAATTTTTCAACTCAGCTAGATAAACTATAGTTATTTTTCAGACAGCAAAAAATACTTTTTCTACTGAAATCGGGTTCTTTATCCCATATTTTATTCACTCCAAATTCCTGTATTCCTTCTAATTGGAGTCCTTCCAAACCATCTACTTTGAGCTTAATTACCTCCTTTACCTGTGAATGATATAAAACATTTGTCAACTAATAAATTGTTATCCATAATACCACAAACATTTTATTATTTGACAACTTTTTTTATATCTTTTAAAAGAACCGAGATATATGGGCTCAATGTTAGCGGTTTGGGTGGCACGCTTTGATTTTTACATGGTTTTCATTCTGGGTGATACTGATAATTTCTGTGAAGGAAAACGAAAGAAAAATTTTCATTGAAATGATTATATTTCAAACTTTAAATTTCTAAGAGAACTACTAAGAAACTCAGTACACATTTCAGCTGCCCAATACGTTATTTTATTCTTTTTCTTTCATATTCCCAACCTAATTCTTCTCATGCCCTTTAACCCATCGCCATTTCGAAACATTCTGTCATTCGCATTTTCTCACGTAAATCTACATAAATCCTCCGTTTTTCTACACCATAGAGACACTCAATGCCCTTCCTTTCCGAAATGTTTGCTCTTCTTGCTTCGAACCCATCACCCTCTTCTTCTTCTTGCTCTTCATTTGATTGTGCTCTCCTGTTACGTCTTCTTCTTCTTCCTCGTGCTCATCTTTCTCTCCTCAGAATCACTCCAGATGACATGTCAATGTCAATTTTGTCTCCGAGCCGCTTTTCCTTGATTTATGAGTTTTTGGAAGAAACGGAAAGGGGTGGTCTTTTCTTCTTTTGCAAAATGCAATTTAGAATTGTTTTTGACTGTTTGAACCTTCGAAACTTTTTGCAATTTCTGGATGTTCTTTGACACCTAAAATTTCCAGAATCCCCTACCTGATGATCAAGTGACAAAATGCGTGAGCCACTGAGCTACGGAGCCCATTCAAAGGGTGCTCTGAGCCAAGGAACATCTAGAAATGAAGCGATGTCAAAGTTTATGGAATGGTTTCAAGATTCATCTACGAAAAGATCAAGAAGGCTGGAAATAGTTGGAAAAGAGCATTGTGGGAAGACTTGGTTTGCCAAAAAGGTATGTGTTTTTTGGCTCCATAAGGCTTAAAGACTCTCGATTGTCCGGTAAAATGCATGCACAATACTCTACGAGGCATTGAGTGACACTCGAAAAGGCGATGGAGCATGTGTCAAGGAGTGCAAGCTATAATGCATACGGGTACTTGAGAAAAAGAAGAAATCAGAACATATGGGGAAACAGATTTGACTAAAATAGTTTTAGAAAATATCGAATTCAATAAAAACGACAAAGTTTCAAGAAATGCATTATTATTCTAATACGAAAAAATCTTAGCTGTGGAAGAGCAACGCCGGTAGCCGGTCTCACAGCGACAACTACAGTAACCTAAAAATATGTTTATTTTCAAGATTTGTTTTTTTATACTTAAGTTCTCGTCTTTTTTCTGGACCCAGTCTCCATGGGTACATCGGAAAAGGGTCATATCTAGGGTACAAGAGATTTTGTGGCACATGTGGGACGACGAAAAAAAAAACGATTGGACCCAAATGATACTTTTCTCAAAAATTTTCAATTAAACCAATTTTCAGCTTTCCGAAATGTCCGAATGCGTCGCATGTCACTTCTGTCGACCTGACGAACCACAATCATCTGAATCTGCTACAGTAATCCGATCAATAGGAGAACAACTTATGCGTCGATTTCCTAACTTGGTCCTACCTAGGCTGACTACAGTAACTCTCTTAGAAGATACTGTAGCTGCTCTAGACCACTTTCTTCGTCTTCCATTGGAAACTATGCCATCCACTTCGAAACCTGTGTTCATTGTGATAGATAGTGTGGAAGATGATGAGACAAATCTCTTAATCGAAATGTTGATTAATATTCTTCCCACGTGGATTCGAATGGTGACGACTTCAAGACAAGAAAGTCCAACTCGAAAACCAGATGACGCAAAGGAAATCGTGGAGCTGGATTCGATGAACGACGTCGATTTCGAAAGATTCATCAGATCCAAACTGCCTCATTGCCACGTGGAAGAAGTGAGAGAAGCATCAGAAGGATCCTGGTTCTATGTGGAGCAACTATCAAGAGCAGTTGAAATGGGAATGATTCCCAGTGATTTGGTTCCGCCGATAGGAGTGGAAAAGATGATGCATTTGATAGCTAGGAGTCTTCCAGGACCATTCGCAGATATTGTTCGTTTGGCGAAAGTAAGCTTTCCCTTTCTTTTCTGGTGGAAATATTATTCGATTTCAGACGAGTCGATGTCGACCAACTCGTCAACAACTTCTGGCTGTATCCCAAATGCTCATAGCCCGAGATATCTCAATTTTGGAAAAAGACATTCAGCTGATAAGCTCTTTAATAGGATCCTCTCCCCCAGATTCCGAGCTATTCGATGTTCCTGACATTTGGTTCTATCTAGTTGGAGAAGAAAACCTTCGATGTCATTCGGCATGGGCGGAACATTACAAAACGAAACGAAGAAAAAGTGCTCAGGATATTTGTGAACTTGCCTATCACCTATCCCATTCCACAACTAATCCAATCAACGCCATCAAGACATTACAAAGTGTTGGAGCTGGTGATCTGATTCTTCGATGTCATATTATTGATCTACCAACAACTGCACTTTTGAAATCAGCAGGAGCAAAGATGGAGGAGAACAATTATGATGTTGTTTATGCGTGCTCGGTTGGAGATGTTAATTATTTGGATGCGATTCTCAGAGAGATCAAGCCAATTCCCATGGTCAGTTTTTTTAAAAGATACCGGAAATCCTTTATTAGAAGAACCGGCCCTTCTATTTCCAACTTACCTCTGGAGGGCCCTTCTATTACAGAGGTCCTTCAATCACAAAATTTTGGCTGAAAAATAAAAATTTTCGAATTGGAAAATAGGGACGAGCTTTAGGGATAGTTTTCTGTGTGATATCACTGAATTTCTGAGAATTCAATCAATTATTTACCCAAAATTGAGCAGTTTTCGAGCAAAACACTTTTTCAAGAAAGGACTCTTCTAATACAGATTTTACGGTAATGAAAAATTTCCTTGATTCATCTAACTATTTTCCAGGAAATCTGCTTCGGACTTCTAACCGCCGCCGCCCGTGGAAACATTGAAATGTGTCGATTCATGGCTGATCACTTTCCCCAATTGGTTTCCTCTTCTTGTTGTGGAGAATGGAATGCATTGAGAAGTGCAGCATGTTATGGACAACTTGAAATCCTTCATCTTCTTTTGGAAAAAGGAGTCGATGTAGATGAATGTGGACATAGTGATCGAACAGCTCTCCGAGCAGCTGCATGGTCAGGACAACTGGCTGCAGTTCAGTTATTGCTGCAAACTGGAGCAGAAGTCGATCGCAGGGATTCAGAACAACGAACGGCTTTGATGGCTGCTGCTTTTATGGGTCATCGAGATGTGGTTTCGGTGATACTTCAGTATGGTGCTGATGTGAATACAGTTGATAAATCTGGAGCTACTGCACTTCATTTGAATCTTTCCAATGGTTCTAAGCAAGATGAACACTCAGAAACAACACGACTTTTGCTAGAGAGTAAGTACTTCAGTTTCAATTCTCAATCATCCTCATCTAATTTCTAGACAATGCGGATTGCAAAATCGAGGATTCCAACGGTCGAGTAGCTCTTCACCTTGCTTCTTACCACGGTGATGCGTGCCTTCCTTTCATTTTTGAAAAGAATCCAGTGGTTGATATAATGGATAACATGGGACAAACTCCACTAATGTTGGCTGCCAGTCAAGGACAACTCGTTTCAGTTCAGTTTCTAACTGAAAAAGCTCATGCTGATGTTGACTCGATTGATAATAATGGACGAACGGCTCTCCAGTGGGCGGCTATAAATGGTCAATCGAAAGTTGTTGAGTATCTTTGTGGAATTGGATCAGATGAAGGACATAAGGATAATGATGGAGCAGTTGCATTGCATTATGCAGTTACTCATGATAATGTGGATTTGGTGAAGCCATTGGCAAATAAGCATACGGTAGAAGCAAAGGATAGATATGGACAACATCCGATGATGATTGCAGCCGCTAATGGAAATTTGAAAGTGAGTTATGTTTCAGAAAATGTAAAATCGGCTGGTTTTCAAAGTTTTGAGCATTTTAATTAAATCTGGATAAACTTCCAGGTCCTCAAATACCTGATGGATGTATCCGACATCATCAATCAACCTGACCACGAAGGTCGATCAGCCCTTTCCCTTGCTGCAATGGCTGCTCACACATCGATAATCGAAGCAATCGCTCCAAGAATCACCGATTGGGTACAACGAGATCATGATGGAACTCCTTTGATCCACACACTAATCCTTTCAAACCTGATCTACGTGGCAGAAGTCTATCTAACTCACGGTGGCTCATCATCTGATTCTGATGCTCACGGAAGAACTTGTGTTCATGTCGTAGCATCCACAAACCACGTTGCTGCTGGTAAAATGCTGAAAAGAATTGGAGGAGTGAATTTTGAATCGGTGGATAGAGGAGGAAGAACTGCATTGATGACCGCTGTTTGGGCAAGACACGTGGGAATTTCTGTGTTCCTTTTGGATGGTTGTGGAGTGGATCCAAATCGAACTGATCGTCAGGGTGCCACTGCTCTGTCCATCGCTGCTCAAATCGGTGATCGTGAGCTTGTGAATCTTCTTCTGAAGTTTGGAGCCGAACCGAAAATCAAGGATTCAATGGGAAGAACTGCAATGGATGTAGCCATAATTTCTGGAAATGAATCCATCGTTTCTCTACTTCAAACTGCAAATGGGTCATCCGGATCATCTGGAATTGGAAGCAGTATTCCAAATAGTCCAATGGATGCGAGTAAACAAAGAATTCGTCCAATCAGGGCAACGTCTTCATTAAGAAGTCAAAGAATCGATAATAGTTTTAAGTGATCTCATAATTGATCTTAATTCACCGGTGATTTCAAATGTTTTCTACTTTTTCAAAAAAGAATTTTCTATCTCGGTCAAAAAATCTAATTATCCACAATTTTCAAATTCATCCCAATGCGTTTTTTTATTGTTGCTTCAATCAGTATTAAATTTTCATAATAAATATGAATGGAGTTAAATGGGTTACTGTAGTTACATGAAAAATATATAAAATGGAAAACAAAAAGTTCGAATAATACTGAAAATCTGAAAAATGAAAAATTCTGAAATTCGGAAATTTCGAAATTCTGAAATTTTGAAAGTTTTTTTCCCTAAAATTCCGATAATCAGAAATTTTCTGAAATTCTAAAATTCAGAAATCCTGAAAACTGAAAACTTGAAATTCGGAAATTTTGAAATTATGAAAATGCAACCTGCTAAATTTTTGAAAGTGCGAATCCCTGAAATTCTGATGTTCGGAAAATTTTAAATTCTGAAATTCTAAAGTTCTGAAATTCTGAAATTCTAAAATTCAGAAATCCTGAAAAAGGATAATTTGAAATTCCGAAATTTTGAGATTCTGAAATTCTGAAATCCTGATATCCTGAAATTCTGGAAGTCTGAAACCTTGAAAATGGAAATTTCGAATTTTCGAATTTTTGAGTTTCTGAAAAGTTGTCGAAAATTCCTTCTTCACAAATTTCAAAAATCCTCAATCCAATTTTCCTCTGCTACATACTCCTTTTTTCCTTGTTGAAGTCCAGAAAACAATCCGTTTACCCTCTCCTTTCTCACTCATCTTTGGAGAAAATTTCGCTGATTCGTACAACACAAAAGTTTCTATTCTTCTCACGCCACCGCTTTTTATCCCCAGGCATACTGAAATTCTGAATTTGTCGAGGAGGATGCATCCGAAAATTCAGAAGACGTGGCATATTTTGAAAACAGCTGTATTCTTTTTGATACTGTTCTCATTGTTGTTTGCGACATCGATCATCAATTATTTATTGACTCCGAAAATTGCTCATCTTTGTGATTTTTATGATGATAGGTATGTCTTTTCGGTTTTGTAGAATTTAGGTTAGATCGCGCCGAAGGCCCACCAGCCTGCTGTTTGAATCGCCGGAGGCGCGTCAAACATGTTAGTACAATATAATCTATTTTTAAAGGAATACAACAACTTTTGACGTCACTCGAGAAGAATGTGAATCCCAAAGAAGAGCTACCGTACTCTTCATTGTTTTCTGTTTGGTTCGACTAATTTCAAACAAATTTGAGGGATTCATCGGAACCAAATTGTTGGTTTTCCCATTTAACTTCTTAGAGAATCTTAAAATATTTCAGCCTGAAAACCTGTTCCGTCCGTTCAACATTTCCTGGCCGTCATTTTGGAGCTGCTCTTGGATTTCCATTCCTAACAAGATCCCTTTCTAACAGCATCCGCGTTGCATCTGCTCCTATTTTCCTCGTTATCATTTTCGCATCCACTTCGATTGCTTTCTACCCGTATGCCAAGGATTTTGCAAAATTGAGCAGGTTGATCTACAATGCTGTTCAGCGGAGACACTACCTCTACAATAGAGCCATGATCCTCACTTGTGTCTCTATTTATTTTTATTTTTCAACAGTTTTAGTAATTTTATTTCCTTTCTTTTTGAAAATCCAAACCTGCAAAATTTCAGATAGAACTTCTGGACGTTTCATTTGGGATATACTGTCACCAGACCATATTTGGGTTTCCCATTCTCTTTCCCAATATCAATTTCCCATTATTTTTATTTATTCTGCATACAGTAATCCTCCAACATCATAGAGCAATGCCTGCGATCATTTATGAGGTGAGTAAATTTTCGAAAATCTATTTTCAGAGAAAAACAGTTTTCAGGTGAACAATGAGGACTGTTTTATTCAGCTGAATCGGATGAGATGTATCACAAATAAGGATTGTCCACAAATGTATGTCCCATCATAGTAGTTGTACCTGTAATAGAAGGGCCCCCACACTGAAAAGTTTGAGATAATTTACCTCGGTTCCTATCAAAGATATAAAAAAGGTATCATCTTACAAAATGTTTTGATATTATGATAAATATTTTCATAGTTTGCTACATTGTGATATCTTTCACAAGAACCGAGATAAATCGTCTGAAACTTTTGATAACCTTGCCAGGAAGCTGAAAACAATAAAAAGAAAAATATTTTGTTTAGATTGGACTATGTACTTCGTTATGAAAGTTTTGGTCCAGTTGACTTTGCCGAAGAGGTTTCCTAAATCTCGGTGGGAAGTTAGTCGAACTTACTGGACTTTTTTGGCAGGCCAAAAATAATGTATCCTCGAGAAAACCAAGATATCTTTAGACATAATTATCTTGGAAGCACGAAAATTTGTAGAAATATAATTTTACTTTTGATTCAAAGATGCTGAAATGTTCAAATAGATTCCTCAAGTTTAGGTGTTGTTATGATTGCCCAAAGATAAAATTTCTCTAGCACGCCGTTGTGTTTTTAATAAGATGTAGCAAATTTGACAAGCGATAACTCAGCTCAAAGTTGATTAAATAATTCGAACCTTGGCTGGTTTACTGATGAATTATTCAAATTGTTGCACTCCAAGTTTGAGCCCAGTACAAAGCTTTACTCAAATTTTATGCTATATATTTCAGGTCCACAGCATTCCCTTTGGATGCTCCTCCATCCAAAACAACCACAATCCAACGAAGAGCCTTCGATGGAAGAATAATCCAAATTCGGCATTACAGAGAACTAGATGATATTCTTCCGTGCAAAGTGTCGACTACAGTTCGTAAAGTTTCTACATTCTCATCAAGACCTCCTTCATACGCAGTTCCTCCGTTACCGAGAGATTTACCATCTACTATTCTAGATTTGGAATAATTTTTCTTTTTTCTTAAAACATAGTAAAAATGAATTGATTGACAAAATACTTCATAGAAGAGCAAAAAAAAATCATAAGGCAACAAGAGAAAAAGAAGGAACATGTATAGAAAACCACCCGGCTTTGGGGATAAATTATGCGGAATTATTAGAATTCAAGTAGGTTTAAAAAAAAAACAAAACAGAAAACAATGAACAAATTAAATGGTCTCCCAAACATCTTTTCCAAGGTTCGGAGAAAGATTTGGAGCATCTCTTGGCTCTGGTCCAATTCCAAGATCTCCGACGAATCGTTCTTTATCGGAAGACTTCAATCCACATGGACGACGGAACTCATTTCCTTTTTCGTGGATCCATTTGTTGGAGACCTAGAAGTAAAATTTTATTAGAAATCGGAAGCTTCAGGAATCAGTGGAACTAACCCATTTGATTCCAACAAGAACTGGGCAGGCAGCATGTCGAGTATCTGGATTTCCGTCTCCTTGTTTGTAGAGATTGTACCAGAAGAGAGCATCATTTTTGGTTGGGAGCACTGTCGATTTGACTTCAGTGAATACGGTACCTCCTCCGTGAGATGGTTGAGACATCTAAAATAATTTGAATTGAAATAATTGGGTTTTGTCTGGAGTTTAGTGGTGCGGGAAACACGCTCGCGCTGATAAAATTCAGAAGATTAAATCCCATGGTACCACTTGAATCCCATTAAACCATTAAAGACCTGTTTTTGAATATATATGAAACCATTGAAATCTACATGTATTAGATTAATTTTTGATCACTAACCGATCAAACAAATCGACTCACATAGAACAAAACTGTGGCAATACGATTTCCGGTTCCGAGACTCTCAAAACTCTTGGATTCTTCTTTCTTGGCATGATCGAAATGTGGATCATAATGTCCTCCGATTCCATAATTAGCAATTTGAAGTTCCTCGGCAGTTTCCATCTCCAAATTAGTCATCAAATCAATTCTCTTGTTGACTCTCTCGACGACTTCATGCTCCCAAGCCTTCAACCAGGCACTCTTGGAGATACGGTAAGTGGCAGTGACCAATTTTCCGGTAACTGAGTCGTGGACAGTGGCTCTTGCGAGTTTTGGTTTGGCAAGTTCTTGAATCGTAGCAACTTCTTCGTCAGAAATGACATCCTTGAAAAGGACAGCAAGTGGATTGAATCTTTTGATTTCGACTTTAATTGGAGCGTAGATCAAGAATGGGCGGTCTCTTTTGTAGTAGCAGTACAGCTTGGAAATATCTTTTTGAGAAACTGGAACCTCGTTTCTACACAAAGCCTCGTACATTGTTCTTTCAGTGTTTCCAAGGACCGAATCGGGACGACGGTTTTGGATTGGTGGAATGCTCTTTCTCATCTCACTGCGACGAACGCCTTCTTGCTCCAGAAGATCTTCATACCATTTGATATTTCCTTTGGCACGTGGATGAGCTGGGTCTGAAATTCGATTTGAGAGCCAGCTCAATTGTTTAAGAACTTACTCATTTTGTACAACTCGTCAGTTAATTTGAGAGCGTGTTTAAGATTATTTTGTTTGTAAAGAGCGAATGCGAGATACTCGAGAATCTGAAAAAAGTTTCATTTAGAAAAGAAATCTTGGACTTTTCAGCTCACATCTTCCATATCAGCAGTTGGTTCCTCTTCATCATCCATTCTTCTCTTAGCCTCTTCCATCCACATAACCGTATGATAGAAGTCGTGCTCGTTGTAGGCAGCACGAGCAATCTCAAAGCAGTCTTTTGCCGAGAAAGTGTAGTTTCCTTGATCCTGATAAATCTTTCCATCGGCCAAATCTTTGGTATCCAAACGATAAGTGTCTTGAAGACGGAGTAATCCGATGGCAGCTCCACTCAAATCATCAGCAGTTGGATAACGCACACCGTAGTTATCATCTGTGATTGAGGACACATGAATGCCAGCTTTGTTAGCATTCATTTTCGATTCGATCTCTTTCCAGTCAAAGATCTGTAATTAAATCTTTTTCCGATCGAGTATTTGAAAATTACCGGAAAATATGTAATAAACTTTTAAAATTTGGGCTAACTTATCTCAGTTCCTGTAAAAGATATCCGAAAGTAGTCAACTGACAAAATGTTCATCACAATATGTATCACCAAGATTTTATCAAGGGGGTACAAATTGGTTTAAGGGTACAAAATCAACAATTCGAGGGTACAAAACTGAACGGTTTTCTTGTATTTTGTACCCCAGAATCGAAGATTTCGTACCCCTAATAGTAAATTTCTTTGTATCCCAATGACCCCAAAATTTTGTACCTTCCGAATCACTTGTCCAATGTGGGGTCCTTCTATTACAGATTTTACGGTTAAACTATTACCTTTCTCTTGATCAACAAGAACGCATTGATTGGATTCACAATATCATTCATTCCATTGGCAATCGATTGCTCATTCTTTTTCGAATACTCCTCTGACAGCTTCTTCAACTGAACGAGTCTCTCTTCCTCTTCATGAATGTATTTGTCCAGCAGTTTTGGAATATTTCTTTCGGTTTCTAGCAGTTGCTGCATATCCGCAATTGAAGTGAACAAGTCTGCTGAGGCATGGCCAAACAGTGCCAGCACAAGAAGTGCTAGACGCATTCTGAAATTATATTTTTGAGTTTCAGAAGAATGAGAGAAGAACCGAAAACGGGGTGAAAGGTGTGTGATTTAACGAGAAAGAGGAAGTTTTGTTTAAAGAGAGATAGTCGGTTAAATAGTGGGTCTGGTTTCTCCACGTAGACTTACAAGAATTGGGAAATGAGAGATCAGAAGACAAAGAGACGCAGAGAAGAACTAGAAGACGTTGACTTGATGAAAATGAAAGTGAGAAAAATTATCAGGGTTAATGAAGGTACTAATTTTTGATTCGAAGAATTGGTGTAGGATTGTAATGCTTCCGAATGGATTTATTTTAAAAGTTTCAGGTAGATATATTCTTCAATTCTTGGTTCCAATGTGTGTAAAATTGTTTATTTAGTTGGAATAGGGCTAGAAAGATAACTGAACCGTTTCAAAAAAACTTTTTTTGGAATCCACCGTAAGCGCTTTAATAGACGTTGGGCTTGTTTATCTCGGTTCCTACGAGAGATATCCAAAATTTGTGAATTGATAAATATTGTTGATATCATGATGAACAATTTATTAGTTGACAAAATTTTGATATCTAACACAGGAAACGAGATAATTGAGCTCAAAGTGCAAGTATAGGAACTTCTATTAGGACATCTACCATACTTCATTCAACACAATGCACTCCAATAAAATTCTTTCAAATTTTTTCATCAAAATCCCAACAAAAAGTTTCAATCCGTAGGTGGAGTTTGAGGGCGTTTAACCCCTATTGTAAGAATTTTTCATTTGAGCTGTAACAATGAATACGAGCACACATATTGACACATCATCGTAACGTTACGAATACCAATGACAAATAGAGAATAGGACATGAGGACTATGAAACTCAACTGGCAGTTGAAAAAAAATTAGAATCGAAAACTATTGAAAGTTGAAATTGCAGACTTCTAGCCGAAAGATCTGATATGAATGAAAAAACAAATGGATACCAAAAAAGTTGCGACTCGGGAATTCTTAAATTGCCATTTTCCGGTTCGGGATACTATAAAACCCATACGTGCAAAAATCGTTGAATGTCCGGCCCGGATGCGTATTTTTTTGGCTCTTTCCGGGAAGAACGGTCACAAATCGGGACCGCCGGTTCCATCATCGGACCACCGGTCCCAAGAATTGCGACAACGGTCCCATTGTTTCCGATGTTTCCGATCGGGTTTCCAGATTAAGTCTGGTTGGGACCGTTGTCGTACCCTTGGAACTGTCGGAACGTTGTGACCGTTCTCGGGACATTGGGACCGTTGTCGAAACAATAGGACCGTTGTCGATACAATGGGACCGTTGTCGCAATTCGTTGGGACCGTTCTTCCCGGAAAGAGCCTTTTTTTGGTCGAAATTTATCAAAAAAAAATTTTTTTGTTAAATTTTTGAGATTTTTAAACAAAAAATTAGCTTTTGAGAAAAAAAATGTTTTTTCAAAAATGCAATTTTCAGTCCGACCCCGCCTCCGGAAAAGAATCAGAAAAAAAATTATTTTTCAAAATTTTGTTTAACCTTTTACAAATTCAATATTTACAATTTAGCTTAAAATCAGATGATAAAAACAACTTTTTTCCAAAAAAAAAACAAGCTTTTTTGCTTAAATTTGGAAGCTGGCGCCAACTGTCCGGCCTTCCGGGCCTCGGAGGCCGGGCCTTGACCAATTTTTTGAAGACCTGGCTCGGCCCGGCTCAAGTATGATAAAACCTGTAACGAAACGTCCCATAAATTTTAACTTTGAGACAATTTTTCTCGGTTCCTGTGAAAGATATTGAAAATTTACTAACTGACAAATTGTTTATCATAAAATAACATCAGCGGACACATGTTTTTTATTTTGCATAGAAATTGAGATAATCGAGCTCAAACTTGACATTTCTGGATATTACAGGTTTTACGTTACTCGCCAAGGCTCCTTTTAATAACCGGAATCTTATAATTCGTCATTTTACTAACGCTTCTCCTTCACACATCAAAAATCCATCAATCGACGCATAAAAAAGTTTGGAAAAGCCTCTTCTGCAGATCCAGTTACGATACATTCTGCTGCGCGAGATCCTTGAATGGGCGGCGCGGATACTTTTCTTCTTCTTCCTCTTCTTTTCAAGAAATACACGTATTCTTTTGAATCGGAAGTATTGACAGAGAAAAGACAAAAAGAAGAGGAAGGGTAGGTATAGAAAATAGAAGATTTCGAACAAAAGGTGTTAGAAAGGCATAGAGAAACGAATTGGTGGAATAATTGGATGACTGGGAAGGGGATGAAAAGCTAAAAATAATAGGAATGAGGTGAATGGTTAATTAGGTTGAAATGTCACGGTTTGAGACGATTTACTGTGGTGGACAGATGGATTTTCTACCCTATAATTTCAGAAAAAACTGTAGTCAAGAACCTTTTTAACTGGATGATCAATTTTTATGAAAATGATTTATTTTTTAGGTTAGAACAGTTTTCGAACATTTTAATTGAATATTAGAAAAACCTTCACTTTCTAGGAATTGGCTTTTTAAGCTTTTTTTCTTAGCTTTGATAAATTAGCTTGAAGCTTATTAGCTTCAATTAAAAAGCTAAAAATCAATATTCTTCCGAAAATAAAGTACTTGTTAAAAACTTTCCGATGGAAAACTAATCAAACTAAAAGTCAAAGTTTGACTGTCAAACTAAGAATTACACCAAGTCGAAATTTCAAACTAGAACAATTTGATGGCTTGACCTGAGATTTAAAAAAACACATTTTTTCTGGCTTATGAACTCCAATTACACTGAGATTAGGTAAATAAAAATCCAATAAGTTTTACAGGGTTCCAATAATGACCAGGACGATTAAAAAATGGCTGACCTAATTTGAATCTCTAAAGTTTTTGCTGGAAAAAAGTTGCAACACAAAAACAATAGCAGAAAAAAGAATAGCAGAGTAAAGGGTCAGTGGGACACAGATTGAGTATATATTTTTGTGTGGTGACTGGCCACCTCCTGACAAACCGCCAGCCGTCCGTCCCTCCTCTGTCTTCTTTTTTCTTCTGTCTTCTCAATAGGAAGAAATAGTATGGGATTGGAGGAGAGTGTCAGAGACAGCTGCTAAGGAGGACGCGTTGGAAGTTGTGACGAAGAAGAAGAGGACGCCTGGTTGGGTCAAATGAGAAGAAGAACGGGAGTAAGAGATTAGAGAGGGAGACCTAGATGGGTATCAAGAGATATGGTACGTACTGTGATTTTTTATAGGATTTACTTAGCCATTGCCCACAACTTTTTGGGCTGGTCTTCTGAGCAGGAATTGGGTTTGGCTCCATATATCTGTGATACCACCTAACGCCAGTTCGGAATACATTCGCTCAAGTTTCACCTATCTCGTTGGGCATTAATAACTTTACCTATCTCGTTGGACTTTAATAACTTGGAATTGACTAGGTCATCTAATTTTAAAACAATGACTTCGGAGTAAGTGCGCAAAGTGGATTGTAGACTTCAACCGATATCAAAAGATTCAAAGATTAATATACCTGAATTTTTAAATATCCAGAAACGGAATTATACCAAATTTCATGCAATGGTTTTCAGATTCTTTGTTTTTAAAGTTCGTTGGAAGACAAGAGGCTGAAATTCTTAACTATGGCAAATGTTTGGGTTTGCTCTTTTTTGTTTCAATCTGATATCGAAAAAAGTTATTTGAGCGAAGCACCGATGAAGTTTCGAATGCTCCAAGAACGTTATGAATGAATAAATTCAGAGTTTCCTTGAAATGGAACATTGATGGTCTTTGAAGAATCGATGACTCCAAATAATTTCTGACTATGAGAAAACTTTTAGTGACCCAGAAATGCCAGTTTCCATATTACAGGGTCCGCCAAAATTACGTGTGCACAACTTTGACGCCATGGCGCTGCGCACTGACGCACTTTTGGTGCGCAATTTTTTAAAATTTTTATTAATTATTTCATTATTTATTAGTTTGCCAAGTTTCATCCCAATCGGTTATGTTTTAGGTAAATGACAGCGGCAAGTCCTCATCGTACTCTGATCGTCGACTTTTACAAGCGAGGTTTAAGCACAGGAGACATTTCTAAACGACTCGGAGTGCACCGAAACACGGTTTTCGCGACCATCCGTCGTTTCAACCAGCTTGGCCACCTCAAGGACCGTACGGGAAGAGGAAGACCGAGGACTGTAAGAACTCCAGCGAAAGTCAAGGCCGTCCGGGAGAAAGTCAGGCGAAATGCTCATCGTTCCATGAAAAAGATGTCAGATGACATGGATATCTCCTATACATCAATGAGGAGAATTGTCAGAAAAGAGCTGAAGATGACCTCTTATCGAGCAACAAAAGCTGCTATTCTATCCCAAGCCAATAAGGAGAAACGGCTCATCAAAGCGAAGCGCCTTCTCGCTGGCACGCGCAAAAAGGATCATCTTATCACCATCTTCTCGGACGAGAAACTCTTCAGTGTCGAGGCTGAATTTAATAGCCAAAACCACCGAGTGCTGGCCACAAATATTCAACAAGCAGCTGAGCGTGGTAAAACAATCCATCGAGCCTCTCATCCTGCGAGCATCATGGTTTTCGGAGCGGTTTGCTATGATGGGAAGTGTCCGCTTGTTTTCGTTGATAAAGGCGTGAAAATCAACCAAAAATACTACGTTGAGGAGATTCTGGAGAAGCATGTGCTACCGTGGGCTCAAAACCACTTCGGTCAGAAGAAATACATCTTCCAGCAAGATGGAGCGCCTGCTCATACCGCAAAAATGGCTCAACAGTGGTGCAAGGACCACTTCCCCGCCTTCATACCAAAGGACGAATGGCCGGCTTCGTCGCCTGATCTGAACCCGCTCGACTACTCCGTATGGGGAGTTCTGCAGAATAAGGTCTGCGCAAGACCTCATGCAAATATCGAGGCCCTGAAGAAGTCGTTGTCTGAGGAATTGACAAATTATCCGTCGAATACCTGCGTGCCACCATTGATGCCTCCCCTCGACGACTTCGTGCCGTGGTCGCTGCCAAAGGAGGTAGAATCGAATAATTTTTGTTGAATTATGATTTCAAGCGTTGAAATAAACTGTCTGTTAAATNTCGTCTTAATCTCGCATCTACTTCTGGAGATAACGTCATCTACACTTGCACACGTAATTTTGGCGGACCCTGTACCAGTTAGGAGCTTAATTACCTAAAGTTAGACTAAAGTTTGTACTTGTTTGTACAACTTATTTGATCAACATTGAGCTGAGTTATCGCTTGTCAAAGTTGCTTTATCTCATGAAAATCACAACGGAGTACAAGAAACATTTCATCTTTGGTCTAAAGATATACTAGCTTTTATCAGTCCGGTTAATGGTGCGCCACCCTGTAGACCGAACTCTGTATCAGAAAACTTTTCCATATAAGGCTTTATTAGTCGGATGACGTTAACAATTTCAACTGTTTTTTGGATAATTTTTTGAGAGTTAACACCGTATTCCCCTAAAAGACTAATTTTTTGAAGCTCCAAGTAGACGAAAACATTAAATAGAAAATATTATCTCGAATCACTTTT